GTGAGGCTTTGATCACGTGGTTGTGATCATACAGTATGTTGATCTTTTGGATCCCGGCCTGTGATATTTATGTATGTGACCTTTATCTTTAGACTTTGTCTGTCTAACTCTAACTTACCTATCCAATAAAACAGACCATGTGCAAAGATCTGAATGCTTTATTCCTCCCAATGCAAATTTCCTGTCGCATGGTAGACAAGATGTATCTGGGACATTATAGATCAGCAGCATAGGTGTCGGAGAAATAGTCCTTTAGTCCTGTCTTCTGATCTATTCCTACTGGAACCATTACAAGTTACCAAAGACCAACCCTTCTAAATAGTCCAGAAGGGATCATGGTTGATGGTATCAAAAACCACCCAGAGATGCAAGGGAAGTAGCAGGAACACACTCTTCAAGGATAGATTACCTACCAAGTTACAATAGGTAGTTCCAATACCATCTTCATACATACACATAAGAATATATGCATATGCATATACATACTCTTTCCCATATATATCCTATATCCATAAGGTAAAGGTAAAGGTTCCCCTCGCACATATGTGCTAGTCGTTCCCCATTCTAGGGGGCAATACTCATCTCCGTTTCAAAGCCAAGATGTCTCCGTGGTCATGTGGCTGACATGACTAAATGGCGAAGGCGCATGCAACACTGTTACCTTCCCACCAAAGGTGGTCCCTATTTTTCTACTTGCATTTTTACATGCTTTCGAACTGCTAGGTTGGCTGGGACAAGTAATGCGAGCTCACTCCGTTACATGGCACTAAGGTTTCGAACTGCGGACCTTCCTGTGATCAACAAGCTCAGCATCTTAGCCACTGAGCCCCTATCTTCATACATACATACATACGTTTGTGTATGTATGTATGTATGTATGTATGTATGTGTATATATATAGATAAAAAATATCTAATAGATACATATATACATATATACATACATACACATATACATACGCATACTCTTGTCATATATATATACATATTCCTATATTTATCCTATATCCCTATCCCTATCCTATCCATCTATCGATCCATTGATCCATCCATCCACCTAGCACCCACCCAGCCACCCAGCCACCCAGCCACCTATCTATCTATCTATCTATCTATCTATCTATCTATCTATCTATCTATCTATCTATCTATCTATCTATCTATCTATCTATCTATCTATCTATC